TTGAAAGCCAGTCAAGTATGAAGTGATCATGACAACTCTTTGTAAACAGGATGCTCACATGTATTTCAGTTTAAACGAACTTCATAAGATATATGCTAATGTATATGTTATGGCATAAATCGGAAAGGGAAAGACTGTAGCAGAGGAGGATCCAGGGCTTATTAAATCCCATGGCCAAGTGCTTTTGCGTTTTTATTTTTTGTTTTCTTTGGTTTCAACCAGTTTTATGTGCATCTTTTTTGTAAATATACTTCTACTATAATTAATAATATGAATACTTAGGTATTGCTTTAGTATTTAATGAAGTTATGTTTGACTAATTTGCCAAAGAAAGGTACTAGCCTGCAGTCGACAGTAGGATCTAGTGTACTGAACCTGAGAGTACTGCATTATTTTGCTTCATGCAGAAAGTGTCAGCTTGCTTTTGAGTGTTTGTTGCCAAAAGTTCTTAAACATGGAAGGTTGTTGCTCAAGATTTGTTCAAATGGACTCAATCACTGAGTTTATTGAGAGCCAGGAAAACGAAAACACTAGAAAAAAAGACAGAACGATGTGGCACTCCTAGTGCTATAGAAAAGATTCCTGCGAAAGAACTCAATGAATACCTCAGTGAATTCATCCTCGGTGTCCATAAGAAAGATGAACCAGCCAACGAAAACTACGAACCAAGCTCTCTACGGGCTTTTATAGCCAGTTTTGAATGATATCTAAGGAAGAAAAATTATGGGGTGAGCATCATCAAATATGCTGACTTTGCACAGACACGAAAAGCTTTGCAATCAAAGCAAYGAGAACTCAAACAGAAAGGAAAAGGAAGTATTATATTTTTCGTGTATTAGTCATTATAAGGTGTTTTTGTGATTGGTTTTCACTTTAATATTTCACAAGTACACAAATCGGATCTAAGTATACTTATATTTACAAGTTTATCACACTATTAGAAAAAGACATTTCTATTTCAGTTAACCAATTATTGTAATTAGTACTATTTCATACAGAATCCTTTGTTTTCTACTTTTTAAATATCACTATTTAGTGCTAAAAATTAGTATTTGTTTCACAGATTTAGTGACAGTGAGCACTCTATTGGTTTGCAATTCCTTTTGGAAGCAAGCAGACTGACATGGTAGCCAAAGAAACTTTTGACTGCATTTCTTGACCGTCATATATATGGTTCGAAGTATGCGGCTGAAGACAATTCGAAACTTTAATACCAATTAAAAGCCATATGTCCACAGGGAGCCCGGCTTGGTGATGCTAAATCAGTAAAACGATCACGTTTCATATGTTGATGACATTACATAACAATCGTAACTCAATACCCCCATATACAAACGGTCACTACTAATAGAACACCAGTGTTTGTAACACGTAACTTAATACCGTGATAAATTCAAATTCAAATACGTAACGCACGCGTTAAGAAGAGAGAAAGGAGAGAAGGGCTGAAACAAGCGAGGTTTATTCGTTGTATGTGCACCAGCAGTTGATGGGACACTTAATTTATTCATAACCAGCATGACATCGAACGTGCACTCAAATGTACACATTCCGAGTTCGTCAATAATAGTGAGTATTAAAAATGATTTAAAAAAATACGAAATGAGTTTGTTATCGATTATAAACTAAGAATTATTTTCGTGAACTTTGAGGACAGGCTACTTGAAACAGTGAAGTTGGCTCTGAAGAAATATCAATCGCCGAAGCATACGAAGAGCTACCGGCTTATTGTTCAGAATAAAGAAAATATAGACAATAATAACAGAGAACTCGGACGTCTCCTAAAAACCGTCTTTCCTTCAGCAACTAGAGTCAAAGTCACGTCTGGAAAAAAGCGGGGGAAAAAACATTTCTACCTGTCAAGATCTTTTGTTATTTTCATTGAAAAATGGCAGATCAGGCTAGGTTAATTATAAACATGTCCCATCAACTGCTGGCGCACATAACTTTAAACCAAGCTTGCCGAAATTGCCGAAAATACCATGAGAACTGCTCACAAGTTATGAAATCAACGCTCCCTCAGTTGGTTTAATCTATACTCATTCGCTTGATCCAGGTTTAAGAGCCCTAACTCTAAAACAAGACTAGAAAATCGAGGTTTTAAAAGGGCTACTATATTTTGTTTCAGCCCTTCTCTCCTTTCTCTCTTCTTATGGGGCATCTAACACTATTGCATTACAAGTTCTATTACGTAGTGACCGTTTGTAATAGGGGTGTATTGAGTTACGATTATTATGTAATGTCATCAATATATGAAACGTGATCGTTTTACCGATTTAGCATCACCAAGCCGGGCTCCCTGTGATATGTCTGGCAAATTAGGTTTTGTTAAGTTAAACAATTTGATGAATATTAGGCTATTTGCGTCCATTAGGTAAAACTTAAGCTTATCACAAACCTTACACGTGGGGAGTGTTTTCCTTTAATATTTTGCGAAGTAATAAAGACAGTGG